GTGTATGCTTGCTGGCAGATCCGTTGGAAGGTTAGGAATGAGGAGGTCCGCTCTAATGAGCGCGAGGCCGATGGCAGTGATGCTATGGTATGAGTAACTTATCTATCTATCTATCTCTGGGGTTGCATTGCACACAATTCAGCCCCGCGTTGCCTGTGCCCTGTTTGCCGGCATTTCCGGCTTCAAGTTGGCAATTGGAGCATCACAGTGGCACAGTCTCGGTTACATCGTCAGGGGTTTTGAGGCAGCGGGTCGAGGGGTCCTGTCGCGCTCCTCAGGCTCAAGTGGTGCGCGCTGCTGCCTTGCACCCTCAGTGCCATCTGGTTAAACGCAGGCGTAGGTGGTGCACAGGCGTACGCATCGCTGCACACCGGCACATTCAGTGCTGGTTTTTGTCATGATGCCGTCAATTCTGGGCGCATTGCGCACGCAAAGTTACATCAGCGACAACCCATTGAGCAAAGCTGTGTAGTTGTGACATACCAGGCCATAGCGGGCATCAATTCAGGGCAAGGGTAGTAAGATGGTTGTGGGTTGACGTGAACCACGCAGTTGCTCAACGATTGCATGGCAATGCATGCCTTGATCATTCGCTTACGTAGGTTTGTACATGTATGTTGCAAAATCTTTAAATGTTAGGGTATGACATCAGACAGGGATGTGAGCCGCATCAACCCTCCTGTCCAACAGACACCTCCATCCGAGAGCCCCTCCCAGCAAGCTGCGCCCTGGATGCAACGTGCGCGCGGTGGTGGTGAGGTTGCGCCAGCCGGTGCTGGTTCTGCTGCTGCTGCTGCTGCTGCTGTTGCTGCTGCTGCTGCTGTAAATGCTGCCGCTCCATCTGCGGCCGCCGCGCAGCATCCTCTCTGCCAGGCACCTTCGCGTCTACCGCTACTCCTGCCGTTGCCGCCCTACGCTGCTCCAGCTTGTGGTACAGCCACTGCATGATGGTCCCAAAAGCGTCGTCCTCCCAGTCTCCGGGCCCAAGCACACGCATCCAGGGCGGCCGCTCGCGCGCCTGCTGCCCGCCTGCCGCCACACCATCTCCCGCAGAGCCCGCGGCGGAGTTGGCCGCAACGAGCTCCCGCGCCTGCCTGCTCAATAGCGGATGCGCCAGCCACGCGAATCGGCGCCACACCGCGGCCATCGCGCGCTGCATGCGGCGGACCCTGTCGGGCGGGACGGCCTGCAGGATGGCGGGCAGGTTCTCGACGTCTGATTCGGACACGCACAGGCTGAACGCCTGCCAGCGCAGCTGGTGGCCCCAGGGCCCGACAACTTTGTCAATGACGATCACCGGGATGCTGCGGAGTGGGCACATGAGTACGTGAGTGAGCAGTGTGTGTGTGTATGTGTGTGTGTGTGTGTGTGTGTGTGTGTGTGTGTGTGTGTGTGTGTGTGTGTTTGTGCACGCGCGGGCGCGTATTTGTGTGAACAATCGTGGATGCTTGAGTGTGCATGTGTGAAGCACGGTTGCCATTAATGAGAGGGGCAAGCGTGGTAAATGAGGAATTCTGCAGTGAATACATCGCCCAGGTTACCGCTGGTCCAACACAGGCAGGGACTCAGGCTGCATCATGGCGAGGTGCTTGCAGGGCACCGTTGTAGGCAGCCACTCACCAGCCGTGCAGCATCGCGTCGTCGAAGCGCGCGCTCCAGCCATCGCCTGCCGCGGGATCATGTGGAGCCCAGGGCGGGTGCGTTTGAGCAGCGCGTTTTTGGGAGCTTCACGAACGCAGCTGCAAAATCAGCGCAGGTGACGCCTGGGCAAAGGGCACAATGATTGAACAAGAATGCCTTGTCAGAGGCTGCGCTAGAGTCCAACAGCGCCCCACCTGCTGCGACCAAGCAGAAGACGCTCCGCGCCAGCAGCTCGCTGTGATAAAGTCAACGTGAGTGCCAATGCACGGGCGGCAAGGGTGGGAGGGGTGGCGATGGCACGAGAGCGCAATCATGGAACATTCAGGCAGGGAGTCAGCCAGCCCATCAAACAGGAATGAAGTGACCTGAATTTTGCCCCTAGCCCCAGAGCGCATGCTTCATGGGGCACCCTCAGAACGGCTGCACTCCTGGGCTCTGGCGGCCATGCCAGTACCCGGCCCGTGCCTCTGCCCAGGCGCCTGCGCGCACGAGGCTGTCCGACCCCCAAGCGCTCCCGCCAGCCCAGCCCTCCGAACCTGTAGTCCCCCGTAATCTCGTCGTAACCTCCAATGCTGATGTTGTAGCGCGACAGCCAGCTCTGCTCCTTTGACAGCCTAGCCAACTGCAAGCACATTGCGCGAGGTGAATCAAATGAATCTTGTGTGAGGAAGTATGGTAGTTTTCTGAGCGAGCGCAAACATTGCGCACAAGGCACTCAAAGCTGGTGATCTGGACCAAACATCAACATGTAACGAGCGACCGAAACGTGCCGCACTGGCTGGCCCTGAATACAATCCTCCTAACGCATCCTCAGGGTTTTTTGCTGCGGCCCCATGTGCAGCCAAGTCAGCAAATACCTTCGCGGCACACACCTTTTGGCGCACGCCGCGGCTGAAGGCGGGGCCATCCTTCTCGCCCATGCGGCCGCGGTGGAAGAGCAGGGTAGTCCGCTCTGGCTGGGGCGCCCCCAGGTAGGGTGACGCGCGGAACCTGCCCGGGGCCGGGCCGGTGACATGACATAAGAAGACGCGCGAACAAGAGCAGGGGTAGGCATGCTTGGTTGTGCGCCTGGGCGGGGCTGGCTGCTGCACCGCTGTGAGGTTAGAGCCCCTTGTTGGGTGATCACCTCGCGCAGGGAGGAAAGCAGCAAACACCACTGAACACCGGGCAGACTCGGCCCCTCAAGGCTCTGGTGGTGAGCTCCACACTCCCAGCGCCCTTGAACGCATTCACAAGCAGCTGCACACGCTTCCTCCCGTTGCTGGGCCATGAATTTCCGCAAACATCCCTGACTAGAGGGTTTGTGCAATCATTCCTGGCTACCGCGCCCACACAGCCACCCCACCTGTCGGCCCCCCGGAAAAGGGGAATGACCAGGTCCTTGCCGGGGGTGTAGCAGGCGTGGCCCCTGATGAGGCGGACAAAGCCCTTCGGATTAAACGGGTCATCTAGCACGTCAGCCGTGTAGTTGTCCTGTGGGGCGGAAGTTGATTGGTTGGATGGTTGGTTGGTCGGTGGGATGGTCTGATTGCTTGTTGATGGGTTGACGTGCCATCGCGTACGGCAGACGCGTGCGCTTCGTAGTGGATGCAGAGCCAAACACGGTGTCAATCTATTTTCAAGACTGTTGACTTGGGCGGTCTCATGTAGGGCGTCCTCGGCCAGCAAGGCACAAGGCGGGAGCTGTTGCCAAATCAACAGCACACATTCAGCCCACAGCCGCAGGGCAGAAAGCAGGCACCCCACCGGGCCGTAGCTCGTGCCGCTTGCGTGGTCTGGATCGAGGCGGCCCCAGTGCGTCAGGATGATCGAGTTTTGGTACACCTCAGTGGGCGCCCAGCAGGCGCCCTCATCGTGAGCAAACAGCCAGATGTGGTCGGCGCCGCCGGTGCGGTTCCAGTAGGGGTGGGCGGTCTTCACCCAGGTCAGCAGCTCGTGAGTCATCATGACGGCGTGCGACACGCGGCTCCACGAGTCGACATACCACCAGGGGTAGTCTGCCCAGCCTGGCGGTCGGGTGGTTGTTGTGGCATTCAGAGGTGACGTCAGCACAGGTGCCAGGCGAGCACATGCAAAATGCTGTTGTAAACGCGTCCTTGCAAAGCAGGTACAGCCCAAAACAAGTTGCACACGCAGCCCGAAACCCGTGGCGTGACAGCGGTGCGTCGCCCAGCCGTCTGCTTCCGTTGCAGCGCCAGAGGCGCGTCCCGTGGCTGCGGCCGCGAGCTCACCGCTGACGGGGTGCATCCAGCAGGTCAGCAGCTGCGGGACGTAGAAGAAGTCCGCCTCCCCGGGGTCCAGCGTCCTGTGGCCGCTCATCAGCAGCAGCTCCAGCAGCAGCGGCTCCGCGCCTGCGACGGGCGGGCCGAGGGTTGCGCGCCCGGCGCGGGTCTGAGCATGCGTGCAGGCGTCTTGACTGAGCAGAGCTGCGTGGCATGATCAGTTTTGGCCAGCGGCACCGACAATGTCGTAAGATGGAACAATTATCAGACGATTCTGCCGAACCTCCACTCTGTCTCATGTCACCATCACATATGCGGGTGCAGAAGCAGATGCGCGCCTGGCGCTGCGCCGCGCCGGCCCCACCGTAGGGGTAGTGTGACGTCAGCGTCCCGTTGTCGTACTCAGCGTCAAACCACCGCCACGTGCACAGGTCGCGGTACATCCTGGCGCAGAGCGTCGCGCAGCGAGCAGGGCGCAAGCAGATCCTTGGCACAGCGTGCAAAACGGGCGAGGTCGGTGCAAAGTGCTGCACCACGCGCAAGGGAGACCTTCTCTCTGCCCGTGTTTTACAACCGCGATTGCATGATTTGCCAACGCACGGCATAGACTCCTGGCGCTCAGCCCTTGCCTGTACTGGAGCATCCGCGCTACGTAGGTGCTGGGGACGTTGTAGACGTAGACGAGGGGCCTGCGACGGCCCGGCCGGGGTGCGTCGGCCCCTGCCCTGTCGCCGCCAGCCGCACCGCCTTCGCCGGCGCCGCCGGATCGTCTGAGGGCGCTCAGCCGGCGCTGCCTCAGCTCGCCGCGCCGCGTACGAGCGGCGGGTCCAGCGAC